AGCTGACCGTCGATGACGAGGGTGATATTGCGAGCGGTGTTGACGAGCCTGACATCAAACCAGGAAGCGCCCAGAAAACCCATAAACCTTGTTGCTGCGAATTGTAACACTTGCCCCATCGTTCCATTCAGGGGAAACAAAACCATCACCGCTCCGTTTCTTCCAAGCTGCAACAGCATTAGCCTGAATTTCCGCTCTGCCCATCGTCTTCATTTTTCCCTCGTTCAACCTGTGACCAATTCTGGCCAACGCAGCATCCACCGCCCCAGGTTTCCTCATCCATGAATCATCCACTTTACCACCATTCTTGCGCACCTCAATTACTTCTGGTGGTGGGTTAAGGCGGGCTGCATTACATATATCAGCATCCACATCATCAAGGAAATCTGGCACATCAGGAAGTTGACGACAATCACCCATGGCACTGGCCATAAAAGAAACTCCAGACCGCAGACTCTCCCCCACGTCATCCATTGATCCCAGGTCAAGTTCTTCTTTACTTTGTTCGTCATTGCATCCGTAATGTTGAGCTTCCGGATCAACACGAGCTATTGAACAAACAGAATGAAATGTAATATATGTCAAAAAGGATTTGCCAGCCGAAAACTATACATATCAACAAGACAACATACCTGTGCTCTTCTCTCATCGGGATTGGGCTTTCCAACTGCAAACTTGGCGTGCTCGATCCTTTCGAGAGCGTGTTCACTCAGGCGTTCCCGCGTTGAATCGTCAATTGGTTGAGGCTGGCATGGAATCCGATAAATAGCATCCTGAGCAGCATAGTAATCAATAAGATTTTTCCGACAGAGTTCCAACTCTTTCCATGCATCCAATAATGGCCCATCTTCTTTCACTACCAAAATTTCATCGCCATCAACAATGTGATCCAAACGGTTCTGAATGGCAAGAAAAGTCTCATACTTTGAAGTTGACGCCGACTTTGCTAAAAACATTGTTTTCACCAGTTTTTCACACCAACACTCCATACCCAGCATGAAAACAGAAAATCCAAAAGAGCAAGAGGCCTATGTCCATGCCGAATGTGGCCGTGATCAATCATTGGGATCAGGAGACTAATGTTTTCCGTTGGTGCTTCAACCGGCCGATCGGGATCGATAACCTCGTCGTAAGAGTCAAATCGGACAAGACGCGGTCGACCAACATCATGCACAAAACTTTTAGAGTTCGAGAGACTGGCTTCCGTGATAAAGTTACCCGCCGCTTGTTTCGCCACCAGGTGTGAGTGGGTAATTATAACCTTGGGTTGGGTAATGACGAGGTATTCCCGCATGATTTCTCTAAAGATTGGTAGTAAATCATGCCCGGGGTAAGGGTAGAGATCCATAAAAGGAAACCAACGAGACCAATATTTCACATGATCGTAAGAGCGAGGTATTGAGCTGTTATCAAGAATTATTTCAATAAATGCTGTCATGGCCAGACCAGAGCGATGTTGTTCATTGTCTTTGGTGGCAAAGAATGGTCTTGAATGTAGATAACCTTGAATTCACTTTCTTCAGCAAACGCTTACTGAAAGGCATGAAAAAGCCAAAGATTTGTTGAGCTTACCTTCCAAGGTGATGTCCTTTCCCAAATGCACATCAAAAACCCCAATCCCATCAATGACCATCGGCATGATCTGCATCAAAATCATAGAAAAGAAATCGGGGTGTGTCGGATGCTTGTTGATGCCTATTTTACAAAACGTTGAAGACTAATAAGATCGCAAGTTCTGCCTGGTGGAAATATCTTGAACCAACACAATACTCACCGGTCTCCTGAGGGTATTGTTCACCCACCTTCTTGATGTCCTCCACAAGCTCGAGAAGCCTGGCCCTCATATCGTTGGGTGCATCAACAGTACCAATTGCCAGCTCCTTGATGCTAATGTTAAGATGTTGGAAAACCGTCCACAGGCGATCATATGGTCGATAAGACGAAAAAGAACCTCCTGAGAGTAACTTCCACCAGTCGCAAGACACGGACCATCTCATCAAGTGGAACAAGATGGTAGCATTCGTTCAAGGAAATAATAACATCACAGTCGTTGATTGTTGAAGTTGTAGTTGGTAATAGATGTCTAGAATGTCCGATATTTTTAAAAATGACGTGTCAATCAATTGTAGAAGTGTCCATAGTCCAAACCAAAATACGTATGCAAATAATCTATTGTTCATACCCACCTTGCAGTCACTTCGCTGACATGACTTGTATCTCGACCCATTTCTTGCATATCCCTCCCAATATTATCAAGAATCCTATCAATGGTTTGTCGTCGCCTTGCACTAACTTCTGCATCAAAATCATCCATGCCTTGGTGGCTGGTATCAATCCCAGCCGTTCCTTTAACCCTACGTTTTCGAGAAGGTGAAGTCGAGGAGCCTCGTTTGCTAGGAATGAAAATGACATTGCGATCCCTTGGTATTGTCGATCTTGCATCACCGCGCGGTTGATTAGTAGGGATGAAATTTTGTGGGGTTGTGAACTGCCATTCCATATCTGCTGATCCGTGTGTGTCATCGAGCCAATGTGGTTGGGCGACCAAACGTTCAGACTGGCGACGACCACGAATGGGTGTCAGCATAGTGGATGCATCGGGATCGTCGGTGTCCAAACTTGAAATAGCATTAACATCGTCGTAGAACGATGGTATTGCTGCAACCATGTTGTTACTGGTAGTGTCCCCATCCTCAATGTTGTCAAAATGATCAGTATCCATTCCAGACTTTAAAGCAACTTTGAAATAACTGTTGCTCGTAGAAAAAACTGGCTGTGCTTTTTATGGCAATGCAAAACCGTCGATGTGTCGATACTGATATTTGGGTTAGGATGTGATGACGACTCAATCACAGGTCAAGGGTCTGGTCCGGGGATGAAAATGCGTGGAGTGGAATATCAAAGAAGAAAAAAAAAACGAAGTCCCCCGTTTGTCGTTTCATTAAGCTTGCATCATTAAAAATTCTTTGCAAAGCTTCTTTTTTTTGGCCCTACGCGACGTTTCGCGCAACATATTTTCGAAAATCTGTCGACAGGTTGGATTTTTCGAGTTTTTTGTTGATGTTTTACTTGTAAGTTTTGCAAACTCCCACGTGTGCGATACAAACATTTTACGCTTTTTTGAGAGTTATCTGTACCTTCATTATCAAATAAGACCACCAATATGATGTTTTAACCAAAGGAACTCGTAATTTTTTTTTTTTTGGTTTGAAGTTATTAGTGTTGGTTAAAGGAAAAGTACGTATACTATCAACACGCGCAATCCTCGACACAACTGCCCGTTTAGCTCAGTGGTAGAGCGCGAGACTTTTAATCTTGAGGTCAAGGGTTCGACCCCCTTAGTGGGCGCTTGATTATTTCCTTTTTTTCTTTGGTTTTCCCTTTTTTTTTCTTCTTTTTCTTGGTTGTTCCAAAAACTTCAAGTCTGAACAATTCATTCCCACCACCGTGATCCGGCATTAGCGAGTGCCAGGTCTTGGAGAACGCGTGTGAGCGGTTGAATGTAATTTGAGGTCCGGCAGTGTCATTGTTTGGCTGTTCTTGCAAGATGAATTAATTCTCTTGGAAAAATTCTCCAACACCAAATTTCAGTGAACTAGAATATTCTACCTCTCAAATAATTCTAGAATAGCGAACCTAATTTGGACTGGTGCTCTGCTATTGCGCTCTCTTAACATTTGACGCGCTTCTACCTAGACTGCTTCACTGGTGTAAATAACCCTTCAAGATACATAAACTCTATTGTTACGCAGAGTCATCACAACAGCATTTGCAGTCTATATTCCAATCAGCGTGCATATTATGACAGTTCGTGATGTTTTATCTAAATCTGTTGAACTGCACAAACGCGGGCAAATTTACTTCATTTTCGGTTGTTCAGGTAAAGCCCTTTCAAATCCCATGCCTTTAGAACATATATGAATCGTTTCTTATTTTGCTGTAAATTCATTGGCTGTTAGTCGGTAATGGTGTCATAATAGAACGCATGTGCGCTTTACCAATTTACATAGTTTCTAGTTGTCAAAAGAGTTTTATATGAACGAAACATCAAATAACAGGTTAAAAAAAGAATCACGTTCTTCATTACCCAAAACCAAATGTTTTATTATTTACTTAATTACAATTAATTACCATCTAGTACCGACCATCCCTCTCCTTGGACGCCATCCAAGGCTTAACCCCCCTAAAAATTCGTTTTGTAATCCGAAGTCCACCAGCATACCCTTCATCCTTCAACTTGAAAGGTTCCCGAACATACTTTTTCTTACCACCTTCTTCAGCAACCTGTTCACTGCTGCTGGTCATGTCTGAAACAAAACCACCAACTCCATCATCAAACTCGTTCAACAGCTCCCCAAGAAGCGAGTCTGCAAACTCACTATCATCTTCAGCCAAAGCACCCCGGGCGTCACCACTATTACCTTCTCCTCGTTTGCCAACAACCCGCTGACTCCCATCATCGCCAATACCAGTCAAAGCACCACTACGACGCTTAATCTCCATCCCAACCCATTTCACACCTTCCTCCTCTTTAAAACGCTGATACAAATCTTTCACCATTCTTAAAATTCCAATCTTCACATCAACCCCTTCACTCATGGCTCTGGCCAAAGCCGTCTCGACAAGTCGAACCTCTCCAAGTCTAACATGGTGCAAGATAATACCAGAATGAACCAGAGGAAGAATAGCACCGTGCCATAACAGCAATTCGCGTAGTTTTGTAGCTGCGTCATCGTCGTCCTCGTCGCCGTGGCTTTCGTAATAACTTTTATCAACCACTCC